TATTCTCCTGGCTCTTCTTGCTTTGTGGTATGAGGTACTCTTGTCTCTCTGCTTACTTCTTTCTTTTATATCTTGAAAGAGATTGACTTAAAACACAACCTAATCTTGTAGATTGAGTCCTACCTCATTAACATAACTGCCACTAATCCCACCTCATTAACATCATAGAGGTAAGATTTATAACACCTGGGAAAATCACATCAGATGACAAAATGGTACAAAATCATGCAGTACTGGGAATCATGGACTAGCCAAGTTGACACACAATTTTTTGGGGGGCACATTTCAATCCATAACATTCCACCCACTGACCCCCCAAAATTCATGTCCTTGCCACATATAAAACACATTCACCCTATCATATCATAGTAAAAGTCTTAAATCAGCTCCAAGTCCAAAATCAAAAAAATTCCTCTTCATCTGTGAAATCTAGAATACAAATTATCTGCTTCCAAAGTACAATGGTGGAACAGGCACAAGCTAGACATTTTCATACAAATGGGAGAAATTAGAGGGAAAGAAGGGATAACAGGCACCAAGCAAGTCAGCAGAACACATTACATTAGCCCTCAAGGCCTTGAAAATAATCCTCTGTTCTCTGAGCCCATTTACACAATGGCCCTGCCCTCCAGACTCTAGGTATTTGCCACACTCTCTGGATTCTGAGCGGAGGCTCCTCGTCCCTGGGCTTCAGCTCCTCCTTCCAGGTGCCCTGGAAAGGCAACTCTACTCCCTTGGCTTTGGGCAGCCGCATTCTTCTAGTTCGTCTGAGTGGCAACTCCACCTTTTGAGACTGAGGCGGCTCTGCTTCCCGAGTTCCTTGTCTCTTCAGTTTCTGTTTCCTGGTTCCTTGGTCTCTTGGCCCCTTGGGTCTCACAGCCTGTGTCTGCCCTGCTGGGGCAAGTGTTCCAAAGCTCTGTAGGTCCACTGATAAGTGCCTGGAGGCACCCCACTCCGCCAGGGAGCCTCCTGCCCAAAGGCACTCAGCTCTCTCCTCCGTGGGTCGGCTCCCGTGCTGTCTTGTGCTGGTCTCCTGGTTCTGCTGCTGCCATTTCTCTGCTGCTGCTTCTCGCCGTCTGCACTGTCTCCAGTGTAACAGCTCTCCTCACTTCCTTCTGACTCCTCACCAGAATTGTGTTTGACATCCATAATTCCACCAACAGTCTCTTCAAGGCAATCTTAAAACTCTTCCAGCCTCTACCGATTCACAGTTTCAAAACTGCTTCCACATTTTAGGTATCTGTTAGAGCTGCACCTCACCCTTCTGGTACCAAATTCTATCTTACTTATCTAGTGCTGCTATAACAGAAATACCACAAGTGGATGGCTTTAACAGAGAGAAGTTTATTCTCCCACAGTCTAGTAGGCTACGAGTCCAAATTCAGGGTGCCAGCTCCAGGGGAAGGCCTTTTCCGTTTGTTGGCTCTAGGGGAAGGTCTTTGTCATTAATCATCCCCAGTCGAGGAGATTCTCAGAGCAGGGACCCCGGGTCCAAAGGATGTGCTATTCTCCTGACTCTTGTTTCTTGGTGGTATGAGGTCCCCCATCTCTCCACTCACTTCTCTTTTATATCTCGAAAGATATTGATTTCAAACACAACCTAATCTCGTAGATTGAGTCCTACCTCATTAACATAACTGCCACTAATCCCACCTCATTAACATCATAGAGGTAGGATTTACAACACCTGGGAAAATCCCATCAGATGACAACATAGTGCACAATCATGCAATACTGGGAATCGTGGACTAGCCAAGTTGACACACAATTTTTTGGGAGACACAGTTCAATCCATAACAGTGACCTACGGTTGTTGAGAAGATCAAATAAGATAATGCATGTAGGATAATGATGTGTAGACGGTAAAGCACTCTGCCAATGGAATGAGCTATTAGTATTAGTAATATTCCCTGTAAACCCTCAGCCATCACCTGCTGGGGAGGGTACCATAGGGTGAGGGCTTTGCTATGTTGAATCCTCAGATTTTGGATTCTCTTCTTGGACCCTTCCCTTTGCCTGCCATTCTTTTATTCCTTCAAACATTTATAGAGCACCCTCAATGGCCAGCTGCCCTCATGGGTCTCCCAGGCAACGAAAGGTAACAGATATAAGACAAGTGATGACTATACGAGAACAGAGGATTGTACCTGTTCTTCTCCGTAGGAAGCCTTCCTGGAGAAGGTCATGTTTAGAATGAGTCTTGAAAGAAAAGTGGGAACTTGCTCAGCAAAGGAAGGAGCACAGGGCGTTTAGCAGGGAGAGCAGCTGTGAGACTTTGGAAACAAATCATTTAACCTCCCGGAGCCTTGGTTCCCCACTCTGAAGAATCCTACCTCACCACTGAAGAAGATAATATACGCAAAGTACGGTGCCTGGCCTGTAGCAGGTAAAACGCTAGTTGTTTGTCCCTTCTGTATCAAAATCAGTTCTTCTTTAAAGCTCATTTCCCGCTCACATTTTGCTCTTTTCCCCAGTTTCTGTAGATGTCTTGACTGTTGGCTTGAGTCCTTAAGTTACCCAGCCCGTTTTCAAAGATCTGCAAAATAATTTTAAAAGCTGATGGTATTTTCCACCACGAAGAAAATCTCAATAGTTTTGAAAATACAGACGTCATATGGGCCACCATTCTGTTCACAATATATTAAGCTAGAAATTAATGTTAGAAATCAAATATCTGAAATATTCCAAAATAGCTTTTGGATGAAGGGGGAAATCAAGAATAAAGTGCCAATTTAGAAAATAATACAAATAAGAACTGCACTTATGAAAACCGATGGTATATATGCAAGCTTTACTCAAAATTTCATTTAGCGATGAATTGTATATGTAAAAATGTTGAAATGGCAAATGTTTTGTTATCTATATTTTTATCACGATAAAACAATTTTTAAATAAAAAATTTATTTAGATTTTAAAATGGTTTTATCATTAAACCTAGAAAAAGTTAAATAAAATGATGATTTATTAGACAATTTAGAAATATGAAAACACAAAACCCCAAATAAAGACGAGGAAGGAAGAAATAAGGGAAAAAGCAGGAAAGAATATAAAAAAGAAGAACAGTGGAGTTAATACATAGGTTCCTGAACTGGTTCTTTTTATCAAAATAAGGTTGGAATAATCCGACAGACAAATTTAATGAAGAAAACAAACAAAAAGAAGCGCGCACAGTTTACGGTGAAATGGTGGATGTGATGACAGAAATAGAGAGGCTTACAAAACAGGAAAGTAGGGAAGGATATCATGTGAAACTGCTGACGACTTTGAAATATCAACGCAAAAGATAATTTTCTGAAAAAAAATTAAAAAATGAAGAAGTTTCTATGTTTGACAGAGTCGGAAGTAGAAAATTGAAACCACCTGCTTTAGTGTCTGCTCAAAAGCACTGTGGACAGAGGCTGCCCTGACCAGCTTCTAAAGCACTGCCTCTCTACCCCCTGCTCTGGTTCGTATTTCTCTGCAGCACTTCCCAGCATCTGACGTAACTTATGCCTAATTGTTTACTTGTTTCCCTTCTTCCCTCCCCACTAGAAAATGAGCCTCCTGAGAAGACAGGACTTTGCTTTTTTTTTTTTTTTTTAATTCAAAGTTTTTATTTTGAGATAATTGTATTTTTTAAAAAATTAAATGTTTTATTTTAAGACAATTGTAAGAGAACGTTGTTTTGTTCACTGCTGTATCCCTATTACCTGGAATTGGGCCTGGCACATATTAGGTACTTTCAATAAATACTAGTTTAATCATTAAATGAATTGAGGGAAAATTTAAGAAAGTTATCAAGAACATTGTTCCCCAAAATCTCTGAGTCCAGATGGTTTTACTGGGAAGAAGAGGGGTCATCTTTTAAAGTTTTAAGGCATGGTAACCCCATGTTATATAAATTAATCCAGAATATAGCATTATATAGTCTACACATTTTTTTTTCCTGAGGGATATAAGAGAAGACCTGATATAAGAGAATACTCCATGCCTTGGTTCAAGGCTAAATAATGTAAATATAGAAAGAATAAGTTAATTTACAGGCATAGTACAAATCCAAATCTGAATTTTTTTCAAAGCTTTAGTAAAAGATTATAAAATTCATTTAGCAGAAAAAAGAGATAGAACTTCAAAGAAAATTTTGTAAAATAAGAATCAGGATGGAGGGAACAGACCTTCTAGATATAAAACACATTAGAAAGTTATGATATTTAAAATAGTATGATATTAAGGCAAAAATACGTAGTTGTTTTAGTAGATTAAAATGGGTAGCTCAAAATGAGGCAATGACACACATACTATTTTAATATGTAATAAAGTAACCATCACAAGCGAAAAGAAGGGCTATTTTAAAAATTACTTTGGGAATGGATAAACAAAACATGGTATAGACATACAATGGAATATTAATCAGCCACAAAGAGAAATGAAGTTCTGATACTTGCTACGACAAGAATGTACCTTGAAAACATTATGCTGAATGAAGTAAGTCAGTTACAAAGGGACATATATAGTATGATCTCACTTATATGAAATGTCTAGAGTAGACAAATGTATAGAGACCAACATGCATTAGTGATTACCAGGGGTGGGGTTTTTTAAAGTTTTAAGGCATGGTAACTCCATGGTACATAAATTAATCCAGCATGTAGCATTTTATATGTGAAGAAAACTACAATTTTTTTTTTTTCCCTGAATCCAGGATATCAGAGCTAAACCATCAGCTGTCATGAAGCCCCTCCTCTGTGTTGGGCCCTGTGTAAACAAACACTGGGGAACCTAGACAGCAAATGGGAAAGTTCCTGTTCCCAAAGGGTATACACCCTCCTAAGAGGAAAGGGAAAGAGGGAGTCATTGCTTAGGGGACACTGAGTTTCTGTCAAGTGTGATGGAAAAATTTGAAAATGGATAGTGTTGATGGTTGTACAAAATATGAACGGAACTGAGTCACTGAATTATACATGTAAAAAGCATTGAAAGGGCAAATGTTGTGTTATATATATTTTTAACACAATAAGAAAAAAAATCACGGGGTCATGAGAAAATGTCAACAATGGCAACACTCAATACTCTCACTTGAAAACGAAATGAGCTAAAAGGTCTATTTTTAAAATATTATAGATAAGTTAGCTCTCTTTAAGACCAGTAAAGTAAAAATTGTAATGAATTCTGATATACCGGTTGCTGTCGAGTCATTCCAACATAGCAGCCCCATAGGACAGGGTAGAACTGCCCCATAGGGTTTCCGAGGAGCGGCTGGTAGGTTCGAGCAGCTGACCTTGTGGTAAGTAGCCAAGCTCTTAACCACTGCGCCATGAGGGCTTCTTTAAATTTTGATATGGATATAGATAAAATATTGAAACTAAAAAAATTACTTTGGACTGACTGGCAATATGGGGGAAATTTTTTTCTACTCTCACTTCACATAATACACTAAATAAATTCTATCCAGATTGAATAATGATAATAAATATCAAAGCATAAAAAAGATGTAACAAAAAGAAAATGAAGACTTTTCAAATACCTGGAGGAGGGAATGACTTTCTAAGCTTAGAATAAATGGACAAAGTCATGAAGGGACTAGAGTATTATTACACAAATAAGTCAAACCATGCTAAGAAAACAAAAATAATCTCTAAGATATGTGTGTTAAGTGAAGAGATCAAGTTGCAAACTAGTATACTGTTCATGTAAAGAAGAGAAATGTACACAAACCAAAACTATATATGTTGGTGTGACTATGTTATGTATGTAGAAAGTGATTAGGAGGGACCTGATGGCAGCATTTGGGTTGGGGAGTGGATTGGAGAAGAGGGTGGGCAAAGGGGACATTTAATTTATTTGTATTTGAATTTTCATTTTTTACAAGAATGTACTCACATATTACTTGTGTAAGTTGAAAAGGAAAAAGTGAGAACAAAATAAAAAAGGCAGATTGCCTTAAATATTTCAAAAGTCATTTCTTTATTGTATAAAGAACTCAAATGATTTTTTAACCAGGAAAATCCCAATAGGTAAGTGATCAAAGGACACCATGCATTAGGTCTCTCAAGAGAGAATGCGAGCCCACAAGACTATGAGAAAATGTTCACACTCACCAATCATTTAAATACAGCTGAGGTAAAGCCAGCAATGAGGATTAAGAAGAGGCTGCATTGCTGTGTTTTCTTCTCCCCTTCCAACTTCCCTTCTAGGTCCCAGGACTAGGCCCAACTTGGGAAATCGGCAACTTGGGGACACCCTCCGCAGAGGAGAGAAGAGAGGGGACTGTGGCAGAAAGGGAGCCTCGAGGGCCTCTGTCCAAATCGTCCTCAGTGGAGATTTTGCCAGGGCTGGTTGCCCATTCCTTCCATTTGGGGAAAGGTAGTCCTGTCCTTCCTTACCCCCTGCCCTTTCTGGAACAGGGGTTAAGTGAGGGAAGGAAGACCCCTGCAGAGAGCTGGGGGGTTGTCAGGCTTGGGTAACCTGAACGGCTGGCACACAAAATGGGGGTATTTTGTCTAGCACCCCCACACAGGAGTCCTTTCTGGAAACTGTGAACTAGAGCAGTTTGACTTCAGGGCTTCCTTGAGCCCGGAGCAATGATGGGAAGAGATAGGCAGGACTGATGAAGACAAAAGGCTTTTAACGGGCTCTGAGGAGAGTGGACACGCTTTGGGAACAGGGACTTTCCCATTTGCTGTTAGATCCCCCAGTGATGTTTACACAGGGCCCTGCGCAGAGGAGGGGCTTGATGACAGCAGATGGTTCAGTTCTGGGTTCCTGGATTCAGATAACCCTTGGATCACTCCACCTAATATCTGTTTGACACAGGAAAGGAATTCAACCTCTCTGAATTCAGTTTTCACTTTTCTAATCGTGAAGTACAGTGCTGTTGGTGATAAGATACTATCCACACACCTACAAGGAAGACCAGTTCATAGAACATTATTTTAATTTACACACCAATCACTAATGCCAAAGATGAAGAAATTGAAGATGTTTACCAACTTCTGCAGTCTGAAATTGATCAAATATGCAATCAAGATGCATTGATAATTACTGGTGATTGGAAGGCAAAAGTTGAAACCAAGGATCAGTTGCTGGAAAATACGGCCTTGGTGACAGAAATGATGCCAGAGATCACATGATAGAATTTTGCAAAACCAGTGACTTATTCATTGGAAATATCTTTTTTCAACAGCATAAACAAAGACTATACACATGGACCTTGCTGGATGGAGTACACAGGAATCGAATTGACTACATCTGTGTAAACAGATGGATAGAGAAGCTCAATAATAGCAGTCAGAACAAGGCCAGGGGCCGACTGCAGAGCAGACTATCGATTGCTCACATGCAAGTTCACGTTGAAGCTGAAGAAAATTAACACAAGTCCACAAGAGCCAAAGTACAGCCTTGACTACATCTCACCTGAATTTAGAGATCATCTCAAGAATAGATTTGATGCACTGAACACTAATGACTGAAGACCAAAAGAGTTGTGGGATGACATCAATAATATCATACATGAAGAAGGCAAAAGGTCATTAAAAAGACAGGAAGGAAAGAAAAGACCAAAATGGATGTCAAAAGAGATGCTGAAACTTGCTCTTAAATGTAGAGTAGCTAAAGCTAATGGAAAAAATGATGAAGTAAAAGAGCTCAACAGAAGATGTCAAAGGGCAGCTCAAGAAGACAAAGTAAAGTATTATAATGAAATGTGTGAAGACTTGGAGCTAGAAAACCAAAAGGGAAGAACATGCTCAGCATTTCTCAAGATGAAAGAACTGAAGGAAAAATTCAAGCATCGTGTTGCAATATTGAAGGATTCTAGTGGGCAAATTATTAAATGATGCTGTAAAAAACCCATTGCCGTTGAGTCGATTCTGACTCATAGGGACCCTATAGGACAGAGTAGAACTGCCCCATAGGGTTTCCAAGCAGCACCTGGTGGATTCAAACTGCCGACCTTTTGGTTAGCATCCATAGCTCTTAACCACTATGCCACCAGGGTTTCCTTAAACGACTCAGGAAGCATCAAAAGAAGATGGAAGAATTGCACAATGTCACTGTACTAAAAAGAATTGGTCAACATTCAACCAATTCAGGAGGTAAGATATGATCAAGAACCAATGGTACTGAAGGAAGAAGTCCAAGCTGCTCTGAAGGCATTGTCAAAAAAGCAAGGCTCCAGGAATTGACAGAATACTATCTGAGACACTTCAACAAAGGGATGCAACGTTGTAAGCACTCACTCAACTATGCCAAAAAATTTGGAGGACAGCTACCTGGCCAAGAAATCCATATTTGTGCCCATTGCAAAGAAAGGTGATCCAGTGGAATGTGGAAATTATTGAACAATATCATTAGTATCACACACAAGTAAAATTTTGCTGAGGATAGTTCAAAAACAGTTGCAGCAGTACATTGACAGGGATCTACCAGAAACTCAAGCCTGATTCAGAAGAGGACTTGGAATGAGGGATATCATTGCTGATGTCAGGTGAATCTTGGCTGAAAGCAGAGAATAACAGAAAGATGTTTACCTGTGTTTTATTGACTATGCAAAGGTATTCGACTGTGTGGATCATAACAAATGATGGATAACATTGCGAAGAATGGGAATTCCAGAACATTTAATTGTGCTTATGAGGAACCTGTACATAGACCAAGAGGCAGTCGTTCGAACAGAACAAAGGGGATACTGCATGGTTTAAAATGAGAAAAGGTGTGTGTCAGGGCTGTATCATTTCACCATTTTTATTGAATCTGTATGCTGAGCAAATAATCCAAGAAGCTGAACTGTATGAAGAAGAATGGGGCATCAAGATTGGAGGAAGACTCATTAACAACCTGCGATGTGCAAATGACACAACCTTGGTTAATCCACCAGGTGCTCCTTAGAAACCATATGGGACAGTTCTACTCTGCCTTTTAGGGTTGCTGAGTCGGAATTGACTCAACAGCAATGCGGTTTTTTTTTTTGCTGGCTGAAAGTGAGGAGGACTTAAAGCACTTACTGATGAAGATCGAAGACTACAGCCTTCAGTATGGATTACACCTCAACATAAAGAAAACAAAAATCCTCACAACTGGACCAGTAAGCAACATCGTAATAAATGGAGAAAATATTGAAGTTTTCAGGGATTTCATTTTGCTTGGATCCACAATCAACATCCATGCAAGCAGCAGTCAAGAAATCAAACGATGTATTGCATTGGGCAAATCTGCTGTGAAAGACCTCTTTAAAGTATTAAAAAGCAAAGAAGTCATTTTGAGGACTAAGGTACACCTGACCAAAGCCACGATATTTTCATTTGCTTCGTATGCATGCGAAAGCTGGACAGTGAATAAGGAAAACTGAAGAAGAATCGATGCCTTTGAATTATGATGTTGGCAAAGAATACTGGAAATACCACGAACTGCCAGAAGAATGAACAAATCTGCCTTGGAAGAAGTACAGCCAGAATGCTCCTTAGAAATGAGGATGGCGAGACTCTGTCTCATGTACTTTGGACATGTTATCAGGAAAGACCAGTTCCTGGAGAAGGGCATCATGCTTGGCAAAGTGGAGGGTCATCGAAAAAGAGGAAGACCCTCAATGAGGTGGACTGACACAGTGGCTGCAGCAGTGGGTTCAAATACAGCGACGATTGTGAGGATGGCGCAGGACCCGGCAACGTTTCGTTCTGCTGTGCGTAGGGTCGCTATG